AGATAAATGTCTCAACGGAACAGACTTGTGATGTTGCTGACGTTTCGGAAAACTTGGTCGGGGCTCTCCATTGTCAAAGCCTGAAGACTGAACAGAACATTTTAAGTGATTGACTGTTTCTTCTGCTGTTCTTTTTCCGTAAGTTGCCCTGCTGCTAAATGCTGGCGGAACCAGAATGCTGCATAAAATACGTACATCTGCGAAATAGCTTTTGGCATCGCTGCAATTTTGTCACCATGAAGCCATCCCTTTTTACGGCTGCACACTCACTAACTCGCGACAACCCAGTGCTCGCCGTGACTGTGGTATGATGAGTTCTAGCTCAGGATCTTTCCAAGCATGTGCAAACTAAACTGAGTAAACAGTCCTAATGACGATCAGACATGTAGCCTCACTTAGCCTTTAATTTTTAAATACTTGCCATCTGAGGAGTGTTAATTTAACTTCCTTTCCTTTTGCCTATTCCATGTCACACGTGCCTCGGAAGCGTTAGCGTTTCGTTTAGGACTCGCGACTAGGGCTAAAACGGTAATTGTAGTTTAGATAGTGGACTTTATGCACCCATAACCCCAGCATTCTTTCTTACAGGATAGGTGGTAGAAGGGCTTTTGTGGGTGGGAGAAATAGGATAGACAGTGAATGAAAGTTGTAGAAGTAATTGTATATTGGCAATCGACATTCCCTTCGTAGTTTTAATCAGTGCGGCATCGGCAAGGCGGTGCAGAATTATGCTGGAATATAATTTTATAACTACAATGTGCATTTTAGCTATGAATCCCACTGGTTGTACTTACTATGTGTACTTGTTATGGCTGCGATCATGACTGGTCTAGCCGGCCTCACGCATGTCCCGTATGGTGCTTCCCCACGCGCGACGATCCGTGGCCGCAGACCTGGACAGTTGGACCCATTCTCTTCGCCAGCACCGGAGACCGAATACCGAAGGTCCAAGAACCACTTCCATGTCTTGACGGACTGAGTCGAGCCAGGTTTTGAGTTGACCCTCTCTTCGACGTTTCCAATTAGGCAACGATTTCCAGTCGAGGGCAGTAGCACTGAACTCTTGAGGTTGACGACGAAGAACGTGTCCAAAACACCTCAGCCGTTTTTCCTGAATGGCCTGGAATATCCTTGTGATTTTTTCACAGCGAGTGCGGACTGTCCCATTTGAGACGAA